TAGGAGAAATACGATGTCTTGGTTGTAAATAAAATGTATTTTTATGGCCTGGGAATGATTGCAGATCATAAAGAATTACTGTTCCCCATTCGCATTTGATAGTTCATAAAACAGTGTTTAGAAATGATTGAGTGCAAGTAAAATGTTTATAAGCAACTGATGGTTAATTTCTGCCTAAGATTACCCCGAAATTCTAGGAAATCCCCCTTCGAACCCAAATCAGTTTAGTTTATTTTTGGTTTCTTGGGCTTTAACTTTTCTTGACTTGAATGCCGCCGTTGATTAGCCTTAAAAATTGTTATTGCCGACTTCGTTTGCTACCATTGTGGCATTGGTAAAAAGCCAACCGGAGTTGCCCCATTGTTTTTGGCAATTAAGCGGGGAGTAGCAGCAACAACAAACAATAAAACAACATGAAAAGGCAATCCAAACAGAATAACAAACAAATCTTGCCGCATCATAGCAAACTAATTTAACAAAATAGCCAAAGAAAAGGGCTCCACAAAATGGTAGCCGCAAAACAATGGACTAATATCGAAATGGGGTCTGGTTTTAAAAGTCCGATCTCAATCGGAATCGGATACTGAATGGCAAATCGCAAATCTCAAATCTCAAATCTCAAATCGCAAAACGCACCACATCCAATCATATTATATCAATCAAAGGCAACCAGAAACGTGACACACATTTGAGTTCTGCTCGTCGCAGGAGGATCGCGTTCAGGTGGTGGTGTGTATATATATATATTATATCTGACCCCTGCCCCACCCCCTCATCATTCAATCGGCGAAATGAGCAAGGAAAAAAAAGGGGGAGGGGCAGGTGGGAGGCCAAACGCGCTGCCGTTTAACATAATTTGCTATAATTTCCAACACAATGCAGATGGAAGCGGTCGAAGGCAGGAGAGCACACCTCGGTTAACCCTCTGAGACCGACCAGCTCCCTGTTGCACACTGTGAAAAAACTCCCCCTGTTTAAAAATAATGATTTCTAGAGATTTTGTACCCAGCAAAAATAACATTTTTTGTAGGTCTCCTGTTACTTCAAATCTCGTTTCAAAAAGAACATTTGTTTGAATTGTAAATTAAATGAGTTAAATTATCTGAAAAATATAGCCTAGCTTATATATTACATAGATTCCCAAAAATTGGAAAGGATTTTTATTATTTTAAATTAGGTTTTATACGTTTCTGTAACTTTGGAGACTCTTAAGTTATTTTCCCACCCAAGGTTACAACAATTCCGCTATTTAACCAACTCCAGGGTATCACACGCCCCCCTACTTTTTCTCTCAGTGCCCGGCTCCACTCACTGCAATAATCATTTTGTTATGTGAGGGATTCGGTTCTCGGAGGCCGACCCCTTGTGATTGCTACCATGGGCCATTATGCTACGTTGTTTGCCCTTTTATGTCAGAGTCTAACCTATAATTTAACTAAATGTTCAAATGTTGCTGGCCGCGTGTTCAACTTAGTTCAGTTTAACTCCCCCCTCTCGCCCCCTCTTCCCTTCGCAACCGTTCAACTGCCCCTCTCCCCATTTATTTAAGTCGGAAATTTGTTGAAAGCTCCAAATTGGAAACAAATTTCGGTGCCCAAGTGCGGAAATAAAATATTAGCCGCACATTTTTCAAAATTGCCAACAATTTGCCGCCACAGCAAGAACAAGGAAAATATGTTATGATGATAACCGTAAATGATGCGATTTTGATATATCGTAATATCTTTTATCCGTATAATAAGCCCGAGGGCAAAACCACGAAAAAACCAGCAAAAAAAAATACAAAATACAAAATAAAAGAAAAACACTCGAAAAGCGAAACGAGTTGCAGAACTAAAATTAAAATACACAAGAGCGCATTGGCAGAGTAAAGAAATATATACAATACGTGAAAACATATGGAAACCAAATCAAAGGCAATGGAAAATATTTTTCTCAAATTTATTGCGGGAAAAGCTTTTCACGCCCATTTGCTGTGGGCTAACAAATTTTCGCGTTGAGCAAACTGGTATTTTAATTGGAGTGCAAAAACAGTGAAGTGCACAAGAAATCGGAGAAACTCTATGAAAATATAGAGGGAGTTTTGATTTTGTTGCATATTTAATGGATATTTATGAAACTGGGGATTTGAAATAAAAATCTAGGGTAATAAACAACTTTTATTACCGCACAAATCCAAAGAAAAGGTTGATATTTGAACAACTTATTATTATAAATGGATTTTTGTTTAATATCCTTCCATCAGTTATTAAGATTCAAAACTTGTAAATTCGCTTGTCACTCCATTCTTTTGGTTTTCCATTTAAATCTTGAAACTTACATAATGGACTGAAGCTACGTAAAAACCACAGTCCCCCATTATTTTCACCCCCTTTTCGCGCAGTGTGACGCCCACATGCAATTGGCATTTTTTGTTTACTTCTGCGTTTTATTTTTTCTCTGCTATTTTCTTTCTGTTGCACTTTTTGCCGCACTCCATTTGCCATTTGCCATTTGTTGCTGTTTTTCTTTGTGGACGTAACAAAACAATGGGGAAAATGTGCCGCAGAGTAAAAAACACAAAGAAATGGGAAAACTAAACCATTCCGGAGTTGAAAGGAGCAAAAGGAGCCACAAAACAGGAAAAAAAATGAAAATGGGGGAAAAAAAAACAGGGAAAACAAATGCAAAACTATTGTAAATGCATATTTCAGTTTACGTTCAGTTTTCTTCTCCTCGTTTTTTTTTTTTTTTGTTTTGTTTCTGTTGCACTATTGTTGTTTCTTTTGTTTGGTGTGCATATGAAAATGAAAAATTATGTGACCGCAGGGCCCACAGAGGCAAATATCGCATATGGAAAAATATGGTGAGCACTCCAGTGGATTCGATGTGGTTTTGTGGGTGGTTCAGTTATAGGTTCTCGGTTATAGGTTCTTGGTTTCTGCATTCTCGGTTTTTTGAATTCCCGATTCTCGGGTGGCATTCAGGTGGCATTGTGGTGGTGGTGGTGCTGGTGGTGGTGCACCTTTTATTTATGGCGCTGCTGTGTGCTACGTGTAATTGAAATGCGGTGGCAGCTTAGCCGCGTGTTTCTGCGGATTCTGTACCCTTTGTGGGTTTCCCTTTGTGCCCCTTTTATTTAACGCCCGCCTTGGCTTGCTGCCGGATTGAGTTTTGCCACATTTACGACGTTATCGAGGTGATTACGCCATGGCCCGCGTTACTTTGAGCCCATTCTGCATACAAACTGTTGTGTTTTTAACGATTTACAATCTAGAATAGCTAAATCGGGGCTTTAACCATCGCCTTTTGCCAAGGAAATTACCTGAATTAACCAGAGCTCCTCAGCTCCTTTGCTTTTGCTTTTCCAATTTGCCTAACCATCGGGCTTCTGTCGCGTTCCCATTAGATTTGTGTGTTCCTACATCTGAGAAACTCCTCTTTCTGGTTCCCCCGAGGGATTATCTTCGCGGCTGTCATAAAGTCACACGCTCCACAGAGAACTCGAGTTTAGGATCGGGATTCGGCATGGTGTACGGTGTATGGTGTATATATGCGCTATATGTCTGGGATCCAACTATGCACAGCATGTTACTTCCTTTTGTGTGCATCCTGTTTGCCGACAGAAAAATACAAAAACAACCGAACAAAAAAAAATCGAGAAAAGAAAAACAAATTAAATAAAATACGAAAAAAAAAAATGAAAAAGCTCGGTCTTCTCTTGATTTTTGCGGCTCTGGATTTCTCAGGGCCCGAAAAAAAGGATTTTCTAGCGAAATTCGCTGCGCCGCCGAATGTGTCAGTTTATAAATGTGAAATGTGAAGGGCCCCCCGACTTGTATGCATGTCTAGTCGCCGGACGAGTTCATAAATTCAAATGAACTGCAGAACGGCGCTCGTCATTAAAATTCACGCTCAAATTGCCAAAGGTACCAAGCAAAGGTTCTCGGCCAACAGCTGCACTGGGTCTAAACACACACACACACACACAAGCACACCAGAAATCTAAGCCCAATTCATTGGAAACTATTTGCCAAAAAATACGCAAAATAAAAAACCAAGCAAAAAAAAAAAACGGCAGAAGAGAAAAAAGCGCAAAGACATAAATCATAAAATTTCATTGAGAAAAATATATAAAACCAGGAGAAAATCAAAAAAGTTGCAGCAGATCATTAAAAGAGCGTCCCAGATATGAATATTAAAAGAGGGCAGCCCAAAAAAAAATACGAAAATAAAAAATAAGACAAAAAATAAAGAGCAGGAGGAAATAAAAAGGATGGGAATAACAAACGAGGGACAAAGGATCGGCGGAGAGCGGACCCAAAAGGTGCCACTAAAACTTTTGAAATATGTTTTTATTTTATAACTTTGCATGCTGGGCACGGTGCTTCTGGAACCGAAAAGAACCGAAGACCCAAAGAACTGTAGAGCTGCAGAGCTGTAGAACCGAAAACCCACAACCCAGAACGTCGTAAAAATGGCATCGAAAGCTGCGGAGACGCGTCTTCTGTCTTCTGTCTTCGGTGTTCGGTGTCCGGTCGTTGGGATCTTCTGTCGGTGGTGGATCCCCTTGTGGAGTGGGGGGAATGGGGCTAATTTTGCGACGGCCGCCCGGTGCGGCGGTAGCATCAATGCAAAAAAGCCACAGCCACCACAAGAATCGCAGTCTGCAGAGCCAGAAGAATCGGCGGGCAGCAACAATTAGACATGCGCCTCCATACACCGATGCAACGAGACACCGGACACAAGAAAGGCAATCCCAGTGCCCCCAAATTTGTTGGCAATTTCCAGAATTGCCTACTTGTAAATGATATATTATTTTTACAAAAAGAAAATATTTGCTGCTCAACTATATGTTTATTAGAATTACTATTAACAACAATTCTTAAATGAACGATAAATCAGTTTTTATTGCAATTGGTTTAATATCTCCTAAACTAAAGTTATTTTATACAAGATATTAAAATGTACTTATGGACTATTTAACTTAAATGTTTTCTCCTATTTTGTTTATTTTCCAGGTGTGGTTCCAGAACAAGCGATCGAAGGAGCGACGCATGAAGCAAATCACAAGTATGGGACGTCCGCCGTTCTTCGGCGGCGCCCGCAAAATGAGGGGCTTCCCCATGAACCTCTCGCCCGGCGGACTGGACGACGGACCCGGCTTCCCCTACTTCGCGGCGGACGCCAAGTTCGAGTTCGGCTACGGCGGACCCTTCCACCCGCACGACGGACCCTACTTCCCCGGACACCCCGGCGGACCCATGCCGTTCAATGCGCCAGGTGCGTTTCACTTTATTTAGGAATCAGGAATTCCTAAAGGCCAAAATATTTTACAATATGCTATCAATGCAACTACTGAAAAACCATCTGAAATTATTGTATTTCGTTTGAAGTATCAAGTTTTAATGATCTTTGTGTGTTGAATACATTCTTTATATGCAAGAGTATAGTAACTAATTAAGTAAAATGTATTTTGAAAAGCCTTCACTCTAGGGTTGATTAAAAGATGACTGCAAATTGATTTAAAAACATTTTATACAATTTCCTACAAAGCTAAGTGCACATAAATATTATTCCCAATCCACAATGTAAGAATTTTAAGATTGCAGGAATTTGAAAATACAAAAACCTACTTTTCAATGATATTGTGAAATTGTTAGTTAAGGATTTATAAGAGAGATAGATAATGCTTTTTTTTTAATATTCTTTTAAATTAAAACCTAAAAGCACGTGGAAAACTAACAACCGATCTCCGCTTTAACCCTCAGGTGGCCCCATGGACCACAGCGGCCCCATTCCGATGGTGAACGAGTTCGGGCTGACGCCGGAGGCGACGTTCCTCGGCCAGGCGGGCGGTCCGCCGATGCAGCTGCAGTCGGCCGTTGGACCGCCGCCCCCGCCGCCGCCACCGAGCGCCGAGCACTTGATGGCGGCCGCAGCAGCAGCGGCGCAGCAACAGGCGGCGCAACAGCAGCAGCAGCAACAGCAACAGCAGCAGAATGCGCAACAAGCGGCGAATCAGACGCAGCAGCAGCAGCAACAAAATGGCCCCCGCACCAATTCGCCGGAGTTCATGAGCTCGGCGAATTTCAGCGAACCGCAGAATATGCAAAATGAAGGGCTCGTTTGGTAATATACGAAACAGTTGGCAACGCGGCTGCTGCTCTTCGGCAGAGAGCGAGTGCGAGAGAGAGCGGCGGCGAGCGAGCGAGAGCGCGAGTGAGAGCGAGAGAGAGGGAGCATTTTTTCGTTCGTATACCGTTGAAAATTCACTCTCTCGCTCTAACGCCGTCTCGTTCTGGCCAAAGGCTAAGCCCCACCCCCTCTGCTGCGTTTTGTTTTTGTTATACTTTTATTATTATTATTATTATTATAACTGTGCTATTTTTTTTTGTATTTCAATTCGGCGCCAAAATATTTGTAAATTATAAAACTAAAACTAAACAAAAAACAACAAAATAGACAAAGAAAATCTCTCTTAAATGTATAAAAAACAAACAAATAATGGGCGCTGCACATAGTAAACCTTTTTTTTTAATAAAAAAATCATAAGAAAAACTCTAAAAAAAATTAATTAAATGCAAACACTAAACGTCTTGTCTGTAATTAAAAAAAAAAAAAGAATACTATTTATGTGTATCAGTGTATAAAAACAAAATGCAAAAATCTGTAGTCTAAAGAAAAAGAAAGATCTGCATATAAAGAATTTTTTTGTAAATTAGCACATTTTATTCGTAACTCTAAAATCGTTTATTTTTGCCTGCATTTTTTGAAGAAAAACTTTTTTTAATATTATTACACGTAACATATGGATATATTATAATCGTTGTCTAACAACATAAACGTAACTAGGCATGTACTAGGTCCTAAGTCTACATAAACCAGATATTATATATACAGAGCTATATACGGCAGCACACACGTACACGGCAAGAGAAAAACAACACATAGCAAACTAAACTAAACTATTTTTTTTTTTTTTGTGGTCTTAGAACTTAAGCGAACGTAATTTATTATAAACAAATGGATAAAAAAAACAGAGAGAAGGAGGCAGCGGAAATGCTATAACTAAATGTAAACCTAGAAAAGGATGACACCTAAACAAAATTACACATATATATAAAAATATATGAGCATAAATATATGAATTTCCAATTATAATGATATAGCAGCGAAAAAAGCGAGAGAAAAATCCCCCAGCTAACAATTTTGATTATTATTATGACGATGCGAATTATTATTATTATTGTAAAAAGTATTTAGTGTTAGCATAATGCGTAAGTTTATTAAAGAACCGAAACAACAACCACAACACAGACAACTAAATCCTTATATTCATCAAGCGATTAAAAATAAAATGTGCAAAAGAAACAGCAACAAAGGCGAATTATGATAATGGCTAAAATAATGTGGGAAAGCGATAAAGTGTAGCAGAGAAATTCGCAGAGGAATGAACGCAGAAAAAAGCGGGAAAATCAATAATAAATAAACACAAATTGTTAACAAACCCTAAATAAAAAGCAAGACGATGAAGAGCAACAAACAAAAACGGAAATGAAAGAAACATTTGATGAGAAAAAATATATATAAAATAAAAAAATTAAACAAAATCATGTCTTTGACTTTAAAACTGGACAAAACAAATCGGTGAGTTTTCTTCGCTCATTTACAGGGAAAGAGAGTTGTAAGTATTTGTACACGGAGATAAGATATTGTTCTTCACATTTTTTGTCATTTTTATGATGTTCACAATTTGGGATACCAGGCAAGCAGAACTAATAACATGTTGGAATTGTAAATTTAAGTAAACTAAAAACAATATACACCTAATTTTGCTTTTCAGGAAAAATGTTTAAATTTCTAGATTGGGGATACCAGGCAAGCAGGAAATATAGCAAGTTGCAACTGTTAATTTTAGGGAAGCTTAAATCAATAAAAAAAAAATTATCTATCCTTAGCTAATGTCGCTGAGATTGTCGCTTTCTATAATCAAATTAGGATAGTAAAATAACTGCCCAAAGTATATTAAAGATGTAAACTCACAGCCCTCGGGTAGTTCCTTTGAACGTCAGGAATGTTAAGACTATTGCAAAAACAAAAGTTCGTACTAAACCTTGCAGATACAAAAGAATCTCAGATTTGAATCGAATGGGATAAGCTGTTCAAACAATTTATTTGTAAATTGAAATAAACTTTAAGATTAAAAGGTAAGTTCTAATGGTCTTTCCTTCTTTAAATGGTGTATTTGCTTTCCTATTTTTTGTTCTTAAGCATTCCTAATGTGATTGTGGGATTTCGTGACCATTAGCAGGGAGCTCATCTGTGCGGCAGGGTCTTTAATCGCCTCTCGCCGTCCGGCCAAGTTAATATGCGTGGCTAATATCGGGACAACACATTATTGATGCCCAGGACATGAACATCCCAGCGACGTGGACATGGGTGGTGTGCCCAGGGGGATGGGGATAGGAAAGAGAGAAGAGAAGAGAAGGAGAAAAGGGGGGTTGGTTGCAAGTCAGTGCCTTTTGTTCGACACATGTGCGCGCATTCACACCTACGACCGAAAACACGGCCACGAACAATGAAAGGGGCGTCCTGCAGGGGATTTCAAGGGGGTTCTAGAGGGGGTACAAAGGGGATAGAGGGGCTCTTTCAGGGGGGAGTGGACACGGCAACGTAGATAGCATTTAATGCAAAACAATGCCACACTGTTGTTGCTGCCAGAGAGGCATGCAACGGCAGCAGCAGCAGCAACAACAACAGCAGCAACAACAACAACAGCAACAACAACAGCAGCAACAACAACAAGAAACTTTGGCCATGACGAATTTCGTGCTCGCCACATATAGCCACATATATCCACAGATGGCCACATACATATAGCCGCATATATCCACATCTGCAGGCGTTGCAAAACGGGGCACGCACTCGGACATGGAAATGGACATGGACATGGACAGGCTCACTCGCAACAGTGGAGACTCGATTGTAGTGAATGCACTGTTAAATAAATTCACTATCAAATTGTGGTTCAATAGTACATTTATTGGTCAAACCCTTTGAATGATAGTCGCAAGTACAAGTTATTTTATTGCTATTTTATTTAATATTATTACTAAAAGTTTCTTTCTTCTAAAAAATACTTACACATTTTATGATTTGAAATCTAAACTATTTTTATGTTGCACTTTACATTATTTTCCACCAAAATTAACTTAAATTGTTTTGTAATTTGACACTAGCTAGGCTTTACTGTACCCATGAGTGTTGCCCTGTGATGTGTTGCACTTCACACACGGATGCGGCCGCACGCACACCGTTGCATCCATGTGCTAGTGGCTTGTCTAAAACGCATATTAAATGTCCATCAGTGGCTGTTCCATCTGTATGTGTGTGTGGGTGTAAGCGAGTGTGTGTGGGTGAGGCGTTCAATCTGTCCTGGGCCATCAATCCACAAAAGCGTCGAGCCAGGACGAGTTTCTCCTCTGGTCGTGTCCTTTTCGTCCTGCCAACCGCCCAAAGTCCTGACGTGTGACGTTCGTTTATCAGTTGGCAGCCGCCCGACGGCCAAAACAGTGGGCATGGTCAGGGGCGGGGGCGGAGGTCAGGGGGCGGACGTGAGTGATGGTCGTGAAGAGGAGATGCCACGCCAGTATTTGCTGCCACAGTTGAACAGTGGAATTAATTAAAACAAAGGTAATAATAAAATAAAAGAATTATAATATGTAAATATGCATATCCTTCAAAAAAGTAATTAAATGGACCTTTTAATATTATATTTGCAAATGGAAAAATATTTTTTTAACAAAATATACATATTTAGAAATCAATAATAAATTTATCAATGGATTAGATTTAAGTTTACATATGTATTTCTTTTTTTTTATTCTAAAAATAATTTGAAAGTCAAAATCCTCAAAAAAGCCAGCACTCCTTAGAACGCTTTCTATAACTATTAATAAATATAATTTTGTAGTTGCTAAATTTACCTTCTTTTTTACAAACTTGACCCACTGTGGCCACTGGTCGTGTGTGAGAATTTGCTGTTTGCGTTGTTTCCGTTTCCGTTTGTCGCCAAAAATGAATTTGTTAACATTAAATGGCATTTAGACCGGTGTGCCAGGGGCGTTAGAGGTGTGTGGGCGTGGGCGTGGCCGGGACCATCCATCCATCCAGCCATCCCGCTCATCACACTCCGTCCCCCTCGACTGCATCCTCATCAGGCATTCATTCATCATCACTCATGTTGGCATGTCCAGCATTCTGAGCAACAAACTGTAATTGTAATTGTACGTAGTTTTGGCCAGGGACTGTAACTGTCGTTGCAGTTGTGATAAATGTTCCTGGGCTTTTGGCTTAGACACGCGTTGCCATCAGCAGGGTGAATTCTTTTTTCAACCAACATAAAGATCGCTTAAAAAGCAAAAATTGAAACCGCAAAATAGCCCTTAACATGCAGGAAATAACTTTTTGGAGAACCTTCTTCTCATTTAAAAGTACACATATATGAGAAAAAAATGTTAGTAGATTTGAATTTTTAACAAAGAGTTTTAATAAAGCTACTGACATAAGAAGGTTTTTCAGAAAAACACCAAGAAATAAAAATAAATGTTCAATAAGATGGAAAAGTACAAATAAAATGATCGTAAGATTTTATGTACACATCAAATACTATTTTTATATGGTGTTTCTGTGTAGCCACAGTTTGTTGTTGTTGTTGTTTACTGTTGCGGTTTTCACCAGCTCGTTGTTGTTTGACGGTGTTTGTTGTTGTTTGCCTGATTGCCTCCATGAGCGCCGTCTAATGACTCAATTTTCGATCAAAACCTGAGACAATTACGAGTCCACAATTATCGGCATGTGAATCACCCGAACTGGAGAAGGAGGGGGGCTATCCACAGGAGGAGGGGGTGGACATCGGGGGGCGGGGCAGCGGTACGAACGGTGTGTGCGTGCCACGCAATGACAGCCAATGTTTGATTTGAAGCTGTCGAAAAGCAGCTCAGCAACTCAAACAATGAGCTGGAAATTGGAAACAAAAAAAAAAAAAGGGAAAAGGGATGGAAAAGGGTGGAATCAACAGACCGAGAAATACCCTAAGTAAGTGGCTTAAGTTAAGTGAATTAAAAGACAGCGCTCGATAAAATTCGAATTAAAGGGATCCCAAAGTCAGTAAATAAATAGTATTTTCTAGATAAATAAATTATGTAAACTAACTCTTATAAAGTAGTTCTTCAACTCGCCATTTAATGTTATTATATAGTAGGGTATACTAGTGCTCCTTACTAAAAAACACAATTAAAAGACAAAGTGAAAAGTTCAAGTTGTGACGGCCGACAGAACGCCAAAGGACGACGGCTAAAAGGCGAAAAAGGCCAAAAGCAAAGGAGCCGGAACCGAATGGAA